CAGGCCGAAGTCGGCCATGTCATATTAGCAGCGAGGAGGGACGACAGAGAATGCGGGTAGATTGATACAGCACTGTTTCGGGCTTATTCTTCCTTCATTCAGCCAATCATAACCCTGACCACCAGCAGCTGAGACCAAAAACACAAACATGCGCACAGACGCACCTGGCGCAGTCGGTCCACCACTGAGGCCTACCAGATGGGTCATAAGCACATCATCGAACCGAAGTTCATCAGTGCCTCGCCACCTGTCATTCTCTGTCGCTGCAGATCGGGTATTTATCAATCAGGAATGGGCGGCCTAGCTATGATAGCAGATGGGAGACCACAGAGTCTGGGGGGTAGATTGATACAGCACTGTTTCGGGCATGTTTGTCCCCTATCGCCCATACGAAGCTTGTTTGCTTCGGGAAGCCAATGGATCGGTGTGCGCCCATTCCTGAGTGAATAAATACCCGATCTGCAGTGACAGAGAAATGGCAGGTGGCGAGGCACTGATGAACTTCGGTTCGATGAAGTGCTTATGACCCATCTGGTAGACCCCAGTGGTGGATAAGCTGCGCCAGGTGCGTCTCTGCGCATGTTTGTGTTTCTGGTCTCAGCTGCTGGTGGTCAGGGTTATGATTGGCTGAATGAAGGCAAACAAGCCCGAAAAAGTGCTGTATCAATGTACCCCCAGACTCTGTCGTCTCCCCTCTGCTATCATAGCTTGGCCGACTTCGGCCTGGTAGGTGGTTGCCTGGGGTGTGGGTGTGTCAGCGGTGGGTTCACGTGATGGTCTTGGTGGTCGCTCACTTGCTTGCAGGTGAGACTACGCCTAGCGTTCACTTGCTGGCACTCAACTCTCACCCGTGGCTCCACGTAGCTGGGCTCTGCTCAGCGGCCACACCCCTGGCAACCGTCTCGACCTGCGGGCTTAACCAGGTGAGGGGGCCCTGTGCGCTGTGCCGTGTGCACAGGGTTTGCGGATTCCGCTGGATGGAAGGTCGAATGGAACCTTGAGTCGGCACCGTTGTGACGTGGTTCGTCTCTGCACGCCGCTGGACAGCGGGTGACGGGATGGATCTCCACATCGACATCGCCTTGACGCGTCCACCTACGCCGTCGGAGACCGCGGCCTACGACGAATTCGAGTCGCTCTCCACTACAACCCAAAGTCGTGGCCCCATAGTGGAGTTCGGCCGTGCCACAACGGCACATGGCAGCCCTATTCAGGGATGGCACTGCCAGCCCCCACGAGGGGGAGGGCCTAGAAAAGGTGGCCTAAACATTGCTGGGTACCATGCCGTCTTCAGGCTAGCCAGGGCCGCAGACGTCTAAACATGGTCGAAACAATCAAAATCGAAACAACAACATTAATACCTATAACAACTACAACAACAATACTCGCTCACCTCCTCATCCTACCTCTTCTTTCTCTTCCTTTGCCTATTCTTGTGCCTACTCTTCTCCTTCGTCATCTTCTTCTCCACCTCCTTCCCGTCGCTCCATTCGTTGTCACCAGACTGGCAGGGTGAGTCCGCTCACTCTGGCAGCCTGGAATGTTCGTTCCCTTTTAGACAACCCGAGGAGCAACCGACCGGAACGAAGGACTGGCGCGCTACAAGGTGGACATCGCCGCACTCAGCGAGACCCGATTCTCCGAACAAGGCCAACTGGTGGAGGTGGGTGCCGGCTACACCTTCTTCTGGAGTGGTCGACCCAAGGCAGAACGACGAGACGCGGGCGTCGCCTTCGCCATCCGAAACGCCATCGTGGGACGACTGCCCTGTCTGCCGCAGGGTATCAACGATCGCCTGATGAGCCTCCGCCTGCCTCTCTGGGGAGGCAAATTCGCCACCATCATCAGCGCCTACGCTCCGACGATGACTAACCCCGACTCCGTCAGAGACAAATTCTACGAGGACCTGCACGCCCTCTTGGCGACTGTGCCGAAGGCGGACAAGTTGATTGTCCTTGGCGACTTCAACGCCCGCGTCGGCACAGGTCATACTGCTTGGAGAGGAATGCTGGGTCCCCACGGTCTCGGCGGCTCCAATGACAACGGCCTGCTGCTTCTCCGCACCTGCGCAGAACATCGCTTTATCCTGACGAATACCTTCTTCTGTCTGCCGGAGCGAGAGAAGGCCACCTGGAGGCATCCTCGGTCGCGCCAGTGGCACCTGCTGGACTATGTCCTCGTCCAGAGGCGAGATCAGCGGGACGTGCTGGTGACGAAGGCGATCGCGGGTGCTGATGTGTGGACCGACCATCGCCTCGTCATCTCGAATATGCGTATTCGCCTACAGCCTCGCAGGAGACCACAAGGTAAGCGACTCCCAGGTAAGCTGAATGTTGCTTTGTTGTCTTTGCCCGCTCACCGTCTTCATTTCAGCAATGAGCTAGCTCAACGGCTAGACAACCTTCCAATCGCTGCTGCCGACGACGCCGCCGCCGCTGCCGAGAACGCCTCCGTGGAGAACCGCTGGTGTCAACTGCGAGACACGGTCCAGTCGACGGCGCTCGCCGTCCTCGGTCGCGCTCCCCGCCAACACCAGGACTGGTTCGACGACAACGACGCCGCAATCAGAAATGTGCTTGCTGAGAAGAACCGCCTACACAAAGCCTACGTAGATCGCCCCACTGATGTCACCAAAGCTGCCTCTACCGCAGTCGTCGCCAACTTCAGCAACGACTGCGCGAGAGGCAGGACGCCTGGACTGCTCGCAAAGCTGAGGATATCCAAGACTACGCGGACCGGAACGAATGGAAGAACTTCTTCTCTGCGATCAAAGCTGTCTACGGTCCGCCGACGAAGGGCACTGCTCCTCTCCTCAGCGCCGACGGCAACACTCTCCTGACTGAGAAGACGCAAATCCTACAGCGATGGACCGAGCATTTCCGAGGCCTCCTCAACCGCCCCTCCGTCATCTCCGACACCGCCATCGAGCGTTTGCCGCAAGTGGAGACCAACGTGGACCTCGACCTTCCGCCATCCCTCCAGGAAACCATCAGGGCCGTATAACAGCTCTCCAGCGGGAAAGCACCCGGATCGGACGCGATCCCTGCTGAGGTCTACAAGCACGGAGGTCCCCAACTAATGGATCACCTGACTGCGCTATTCCAACAGATGTGGCGCCGACGAAGGGCACTGCTCCTCTCCTCAGCGCCGACGGTAGCACGGGACGGCGAAGTCCCGCAAGATTTCAAGGACACAACTATCGTGCATCTCTACAAACGCAAAGGAAATCGCCAAGTCTGCGACAATCACTGCGGCATCTCCCTGCTAACCGTCGCCGGGAAGAACTTCGCTCGCATCCTTCTCAACCGCCTCAATAATCATCTGGAACAGGGCCTTCTGTCGGAAAGCCAATGCGGCTTCCGTCGTCATCGTGGGACCACGGATATGATCTTCGCCGCCCGTCAACTTCAGGAGAAGTGTCAGGAGATGTGGACCCACCTGTACTCTACCTTCGTGGACCTAACGAAAGCCTTCGACACGGTGAATCGTGAATGACTGTGGAAGATCATGCAGAAATTCGGCTGCCCGGAGCTATTCACTCAGATGGTGCGTCAGCTGCACGACGGTATGATGGCGCGAGTCACGGACAACGGAGCTGTCTCAGAGGCATTCGCAGTGACCAATGGAGTGAAGCAGGGCTGCGTACTGGCGCCTACCCTCTTCAGTCTTATGTTCTCTGCCATGCTGATGGACGCCTACCGCGACGAACGCCCCGGGATCCGCATCGCCTACAGGATGGACGGTCACCTCCTGAATCAACGGCGGATGCACTTCCAATCGCGCGTATCCACAACCACCGTGCACGAACTCCTCTTCGCCGACGACTGCATCCTGAACACCACCTCGGAAGAGGACATGCAACGGAGCATGGGCCTGTTCTCCGCCGCCTGCGAGAACTTCGGTCTGGTCATTAACACGCAGAAGACGGTGGTGATGCACCAACCGCCACCCAACTCAGTCACAGCCCCCAACGCGCCGCCGCACATCAGCGTGAACGGAACCCAACTGCAAGTGGTGGAGAACTTCTCGTACCTGGGCAGTACCCTCTCCCGGAACACCAAGATCGATGACGAAGTCGCCAACAGGATCTCGAAAGCCAGTCAAGCCTTCGGTCGCCTCCAAAGCACAGTTTGGAATCGTCACGGTCTCCAACTGAGCACGAAGCTGAAGATGTACAAGGCCGTCATCCTGCCGACACTACTGTATGGAGCGGAGACGTGGACGGTGTACATGAGGCAGGCGCGCCGACTGAATCACTTCCACCTCAGTTGTCTCCGTCGCATCCTGAGGCTGAACTGGCAGGATCGCATCCCCGACACTGATGTGCTAGAACGTACGGGAATGCTCAGCATCCACACCATGCTGAGGCAAATGCATTTGCGCTGGAGCGGCCACCTGGTGCGCATGGACGACAAGCGACTACCCAAACGACTCTTCTACGGAGACGTCGTGACTGGTTCTCGCCGTCAAGGAGGCCAGATTCGACGTTACAAGGATACCCTGAAGTCCTCCCTGAAACGCCTGCAAATCAACCCCACCAACTGGGAGTAGCTCGCAGTCGATCGACCGACATGGAGGAGGGCAGTAAAGACAGGCGCTGCGATCTACGAAGCCAACCGCATCTCTGCCGCCAAAGCGAAACGCGAAGCCCGCAAATCACAACTTCGCCCAGTACGCAACGCCGCCGCACAACCGCTTCCAACGTGTCCTCGATGTCAACGGACATTCCGGGCTCGAATCGGACTTGTTGGACATCTTCGGACCAACTGCGCCTCTCGAACTGCACCAACCATCGTCCCCCCGCCCGACTCTTCCTCCCCGCCGCCGCCAACTAACTCTGAAAATTCTTCTGA